GCATGAATCTAGCTCATTCAATAGAAATTTCAAGTCTTCTGCCTTTAAATTGATGCACTCATCCCAATGCAGGATCGTGTCCCTTGAGCTGATATACAGGTCAACTCCTGAACTTGTGGGACTTGTATGAGGAGGCCACCAGGAGCTCTGCCCACAGCTCAGAGGTATAACTTTATGCTCCCAGATCAGGGACTCCTAAACACTTTCCCTTACAGTCTGCCAACGACTATTGGAATCTTATGCTTGTTGGTTGACAGTGGGATATCCATTGGAACTTTCGATGGCACTTTATTCCTACCTAGAATCCTCTCAGTTGTGTTTGTTCCAAACCTTCAGGATCAACCTCTTTCACAGGCAACATAGTACCTTACATTCTAGGTGAGATTTTAACATCTATAATCAGAGAATTGCTTGGTCTCACATTGACTAAAAGTATAAGGAGAACTTTGGGACAATAAAATATATCGATGTTTCAAACCGTGCAGAATGAGGACCGGTGATGTTTGGGGGAAAGTCAGATGGTCAATCAGATCTTATTTGAGCAGTATTCAATCTTTGCTATCTAGTAGATATTGGATAAACAAACATTTGTTATATGTATTACATACACATGGAGCTATCTATTTGTATCTATTGGTACCCCTCCCAAATTTCCTTTATAGGATCCTTCTTACTGCTGTGAATGTTGTCTGCTGAAAGAGATGTGTCTACAAAATGCTGCTCCCTTACCTCAAAGTGGAATCAATCCTATGGTACAATTCATGCTCTAGGGCTCTCCATAGGATCAGGCTGCAACTTAACTCTAGATAAGACCAGACCACATCCTTTCTCAACCTCCTCCTGGGCTGTATCTTGCTTCCTTCACTGTGTTTCTTCCGAGAGCAATCTTCCAATAAACTATGCACTCAGATCCTGTTTCAGGATTCTGCCTCTAGGGAATCTGACCAAAGACACTGCATGAGTAAAAGTCAAAAATTATAAAATCTATCTATGTCCATGACTCGGAGACAATGCAAGCAAAGATACAGGAAGGGATGGCAGGAAATCAGAAAAAGGACCAAGGTGAGTAAGATGCCTTACTTGAGTGAAAAAGAATAGGCACAGGCACCTTCAAACCAGCCTGCACTAACCAAGTGGATACAAACCCTTTTGCTCTTGCAGTTGGCAAGAACTGTTATTTTAGTGTCTGGACTTAGAGCAATTTGTATCAAAGCCTGGGTGTTCTTTGCCACTGGCATTACAGTTTCTGGGACCTGGAAATGACCACCATGACAAGGACCAGTGGAAAAAAAGGGATTTCAGGCAGAAGAGCTGCATAATCTTTGTGATAAGGCACGTGGGGTCCAACAGAAGCACTTCTGAAGCTACGATGACTACGGCAACCTCCTCTATGAGAAGCAACTGGACAATGATACTAGTGTATTACATATAGATGACTAGTTGTAGATTATATATTTATATACAATTATACTGTCATTCTTAATTCTTAATCAAGTCCCCATCACGAGACTTATTCTTGTCCTTGGAGGAACCAGGATACAGAGTATTCTGGTAATTTATTGTTGTGTAACAAACTGTCCCCAGTTGGCTCATGGCTTAAACAAGTACACTCATTTATTTTGCTTACGTATCTACAGTTTGGGGTGGGTTCAGCAGGAACAGCACCCCCCTGCTTCATGATTGTATGAGGTCCCAACTGGGAAGACTTGAATGGCTGGGGGCTGGCTTCCTCACAGCCTGGTGGTCTCAAGGCAGCTGGACATCTTTTATGGAAGGTGGCTTTCCCAGAGCTAGTGTTCCAAGACACTTCAGGAGGAAGCTGCAAGACTTCTTATGACCTAGCACAAGGTCCCATTTCTGGGACCTCACAAATCCCAGTACATCACTTCCACCATAGTCTATCAGTCAAGCAAATCACTAAGGCCAGGCTAGATTCAAAAAGTAGGGTAGGGCTGGGGGTGGGGGTGGGGGTGGGGCCAAGGATTAGACCTGATCTCTCCACAGAAGGAATGTAAGAGAATTTGCAGCCATCTTTAATCTGTCACACAGACGTAGAATGTGTAGGGGACTCTTTGATAAACGCAGTAAAGGAAAAAGAAGATAGCAGGTAAGATTTTGTTTCTTTAATTGTTTTTGGAGACAGGGTCTTGATCTGTTGCCCAGACTGGAGTGCAATGGTCCAAACATAGCTTACTGCAGCCTCAAACTCCTGGGCTCAAGTGATCCTCCTGCCCCAGCCTCCCAAGTAGCTAGGACTACATGTGCACACGACCACATCTGACTAATTTTTAAAAAAACTTTTTGTAGAGACAAGGTCTCACTATGTTGCCCAGGCTGGTCTCAAACTCCTGGCCTCAGGTGATCCTCCCACTTTGGCCTCCCAAAGCACTGGGATTACAGGCATGAGCCACTGCACCCAGCGTGTTTGTTTTTTAAGGACAAAATAATTTCAGCATGTTCGAAAGCTATGGAAAAAGAACCAGAGAAAGGAGTAGATTAAGGAAGTAAGAAAGAATGTTTGCTGCAGCAAGATTCTAAGGCTTCAGAGTAGCAATATCTAGTCTAGAGATTGCTGTTCTTCAGATGCACACCTTTTCTGTTATCCCTGAATGTTGGTAAAATCATGTGAAACTTCACAGTCTGGGTTCAGTCTTGCTGTGGGGAGGGAAGGGAAAGAAAGGGCTGGTTCACTTCTGGCCTGGAAGAGTAGGGGGAGCAATGTCTCCTATAGCTAGGGCATGGCCTATGCCAGCCTCCCCCATCTGATGGGGTCCTGCCAGAGGGGAGGGCCATGTCTTCAATTTCTCTGCCTTACCCTACATGGCAAAAACATAACCTGCAAACCAGAATGTCAGTGCTAGGGCCTAGGCCAAACAATAGTTTTCCTGTAGGAATGGGGAGTATGTGTGGATGTATAGCAGGGGGTGAGGCTTTTGTGCAATTCAGCTTCACCAGGCTTGAAGAAGATGCAGTGAGGACAGTCAGGACTTGAGTATGAGAGTGGGACCTGGGTATGAGTGTGGAAGTCCATCTTAGAACCTTAGAATTCAATGCTCTGAGGTAAAGCTGAGAGGCTCCACAGGTCTACGAGGGTTTTTCTTTGTTTCTCAGGGACTGTAAGGTGCTCAAATTCTGAGGTAGGTGCCATAGGAATATTCCTCATAGCACAAGCGTTATGTCAGACAATGCTCTGCTTATCTATTAGTGAGTAACAAATCTCTCTAAAACTTAAGAGGCTTAAAATAACATAAATCATAATTTATGAAAAATTATAAATAATTCATCATTTAAGGGTTAAATGATAAATGAGTTATTTCTCATTTTGGATAAGTCAGTTAGGAAAGACCTGTTACTGTTGTGGGTAACATGGAACGGCCCAGATGGTTGGAATAACCCAACCCAGACAACTTTTTCACTCAATGACTGATCCCTTAGCTAGGATGGCTCCACCAGCCTAGTGGCCCAGCTCTCCCTCTCCAAGTCCAAGTGGTCTCTGCACGTGGTTTCTCTACAGCAGGGTGGCTAAAGGGCAGCAGCTCATGACCACCAACAGCTCAAAATCAACGATGCCAGGTCTTTTTTTTTTGAGATGGAGTCTTGCTCTGTCCCCCAGGCTAGAGTGCAGTGGCGTGATCTCGGGTCACTGCAACCTCTGCCTCCCGGATTCAAGCGACTCTCCTGAGTAGCTGGGATTACAGGTGCGTGCCACCACGCCCGGCTAATTTTGTATTTTTAGTAGAGACAGGATTTCACCATGTTGGTCAGGGTGGTCTCGAACTCCTGACCTCGTGATCTGCCCACCTCAGCCTCCCAAGGTGCTGGGATTACAGACGTGAGCCACCGTGCCCGGCCAAGTTTGCCAGATCTTTTTTAAACTGAGAGTTAGAACCAAGACATTGCCACTCCTACCACCTTCTTCTGTTGGTGAAGCTGAATCACGGTTTCTTATGGTCTCAATCATGACCCAGTCCAGATTCCAGGGTCAAAACCATAAAAGGCTACATTGATGGAAGACATGTCTCATTGAGGGACGCCAGAGTAACAACTACCAGACAAGAAGGGGCAGGTCTATGGGAGCCCCAGTTCCTAATTCTATGTTGCCCTCTCTTCAGAGAAGATGGTTGGAGGGCAAATTGTGGGGAGCAAGGTAACTCCAAACTTTTACAGAATTAAAGGTAGGGGGTCTGGTCAGCTACAGTCCGTCTGTTATCAAGAGGCCTGGCTGTGTGTCTTCAGTCTATTAGGCATTTACTGAGCACAGCCTACATACCAGGTTCTTCATTTTCTGACACAGGGTCTTGTTTTGTTGCCCAGGCTGGAGTGCAGTGCTGCGACTGCAGCTCACTGCAGCCTTGACCTCTCCAAGCTCAAGCGATCCTCCTGCCTCAGCCTCTCGAGTAGCTGGGGCTACAGGCGCGCACCACCACGCTCGGATAATTTTTCTGTTTTGGTAGAGATAGGGTCTCACCCTGTTGGCCAGGCTGGTCTCGGATCCCAGAGCTCAAGTGATCCGCCTGCCTCGGTTTCCCAAAGTGCTGGGATTACAGGCGTAAGCCTCCGCGCCCGGCCTATGCCCAGTTCTACATGTGTTCTTTCTTTACTCCTGTGTTACAGAGGCTCGAATGAGGCCTGACTTCTACAGTACCGCACCCAGCACCACACCGCGACCGACGTAGCCTCCTGTGCTCTTTCTGTCCGGCAGCTGGAGTTGGGGTAAAGCGCCGGGTCTCTTGGAGGGCAACACTCAACGCGGTCGGCTCCTAGGCATCCAGTGGGGCTGCAACCCCGCCGCCGGGGGCGACAGGCGAAGGTGAAAACCTAGAGCTGGGACAGCGCAGCCGGGTTTCAGCTGGTTCTAGAGTCCACGTCAGAAGACCGCGCCCGGCGCCGCGCGCGCCGGAGATCACTGTCTGCGCCCCGGCACGCACGGACTCGCGCACGCGCGCGCCGGCCCCGCCTACCGCCCCGCTGTGGTCCCCGTGTGGACCGCGCGAGCCACCGTCCGCACAGCCCCGCCCCGCACGGCCAGGCGAAGCGGAGCCGGCCGTGCGGTGTGTGTGTATGTGTTCGCGGGGCGCCGTCTCAGCCCCGGGAAGATGGTGGCTGCAGCGGCGGCGACTGAGGCAAGGCTGAGGAGGAGGACGGCGGCTACGGCAGCGCTCGCGGGCAGGAGCGGCGGGCCGCATCGGGACTGGGACGTGACCAGGGCTGGGAGGCCGGGGCTGGGGGCCGGGCTGCGCCTTCCGCGGCTGCTGTCGCCGCCGCTGCGGCCGCGGCTGCTGCTACTGCTGTTGTTGCTCTCGCCGCCGCTGCTCCTGCTGCTGCTGCTGCCCTGCGAGGCCGAGGCCGCGGCGGCGGCGGCGGCGGTGTCGGGCTCAGCCGCAGCCGAGGCCAAGGAATGTGACCGGCCCTGTGTCAACGGCGGCCGCTGCAACCCTGGCACCGGCCAGTGCGTCTGCCTCGCCGGCTGGGTGGGCGAGCAATGCCAGCACTGCGGGGGCCGCTTCAGGTGAGTGGCGGGTGGTGTGGGAGGCTGGGGCTAAGGGGCGTTCGAGACAGCTCCAGGCCAGAGGCAGATGCTGGACAGAAAGTGGAGAGGGTAGGGCCGCCCCATGGGGTTTGAGGGCCATTTGCTTCCGAGGAGATCATCGTCTCTGGCCTGGGGTCTTCCTCTGTTGGAAGGTGAAAAAGTGTGGGGCAAGGGTCGGGGCACTCCGACGGTATTTGTGTGCTTGGGTTAGATTGGAAGAGTGCTGAGGGACCCAAAGAGCATCAAAGCCGATCGCTCTAAAACTCGGCCTGTTTCAACTAAATGAGGTATCCAAGGAAAGGTGAGCTAGCCAGGTTTCCTTAAACACTTCCTTTTAACATCCACATGTGCCCTAGGACCCGATGAGTTCCCCGATGCACTGGAGATGTGGGGTGCTCTGAAGAAACAGGGCCCTGGAAATGCTTTGTTGGCTGGAGATAAAAGGGAAAGGGTAGCATTGTAAGATATTAGAGATGTAAGGACCAATGGTCCTTCTAAAGGAAAGTGAGGGAACTAGTCTTTTGGCAAAAGCTCACTGGAGGTGGCAGATTGGAACAGGGTCTGTGGTGAAGAGGGAATGGAAGGAGATTCCTATTTGCCTTGGTTTCTGGACAATATGAAGTTCTGAATTGGCCTGGTTTGGGGCAGTTCCTCTTGGAGAAATCAATAAATTAATTAGCAGTTACCTGTTATTTGCTTCAGTTGTGCAAGGATTTTCCAGATAATACAGACAAATAGATTAGCCAGACTTTGGCCTTGTCCACAGGGAGTTTGGAATATAGCAAGAGAAAGATAACTTACGCACATAACCCTAGTCATAAGGGTTATAGAGTCATTCATGCGTTTGGCAGGTGTTTAGTTTACTGGACACATGTCTGATGTGGGGGAGTGGGGAAATGTGAACAAGACAGACAGGGCCCCTGCTCTCATCCATCTTAACATTCTAGTGGGAGCAACAGGCACTTAACAAGTAAATGAGAGAAATGAACATGCTAATTTCAGGTAATGGTAAATGCTATCAAGAAAATAAAAACAGCATGGTCTGATAGAGAATTATAACCCGTGGTGACTTTTGGAGAAGGTTCTCATTTGAAATGACATTTGATCTGAGACCTGAATGAGGCAATGGGGAGCCTGTGGGAATTCAGGGATGGAGAGGTTGTGGCTAGCTGGAGGGATGCAAGGAGGACTTTGAGGAGGTGATAACATTAGATTTGAGCATTTAAGATTAAGTAGGATTTGGAAATGTGGAGGTAGAAAAAAATTACAGATGGAAAGAAGGGTGCAAACAAAGTTGTGGAGGCTGGAAAGTAAACTTTTGCTGCTGCCTATATGGAAGAGAGTTGTGAGAGAGGAGTTTGGAATAACAAAATCGTAGACTTAGGTAATGTTAGGTCTTCTAAGGAACTCAGAGAACGTTGAGCAGATGAGCTCTTTAGTTTTATGGATGGAGAAACCAAGTGACTTCAGGATCACTATGCAGTGAAGCTGCTTTTGTAACTTAGGGTGTTCCGATTTATGAATTTCATTAATCTACATGTATTTGTTGAGGGCTCCTGTGTTTTAAGTTGTGAGATACAGTGGTATGCAAGACAGGCACAGTCCTGCTCTTATGGAGCTCATATTCCAGCTTGGGAGTAAAAAAATCCAACAAAAATTTTATTGTAATTTTGTTTAAGGCTGTGGAGGTAAAGAACAGGAGACAAACAGAGGTCTTGACTTAGTCTGGGGGTAATGTAAGTCACTGAGGAAGTGATGTGAAGTCTAAGGGGTGAGATGGTACTACCTACGTGAGGGGTGGGGTGCTGAGGGGCCAGCAGGTACAGAGGCTTGGGGATGAAGGGGATGATGGCAGCCTGGATGGAAGACCAGGTGGCAGGAGCAGAGAGAGCAAAGGGGAGCTTGACAAGACTGGAGAGAAAGGCAGAAGCCAGGCCAAGTGGAGATCTGTAGGTTGGATTGAGAATTTTGACCTTTAGCCCAAGAGCTGTGAAATGGCGTAGTTCACTCCTATTTTCATGACATTATAGGCTTTTAGATTGGAGCCAGAATACAAATGGCCTTGAAGGGAGGCCAGGGCATTTTCAATTTGAGAAGCTTCCAAGATCAGGTGAGTGGATGGTTGAGTCAGAAGAGGATCCTTCAAGTTCTGAAAGTCTGGGACACAGTAGTAGGCAGTGGGGACCCACAATGTGGGAAGGGGACTTCATAGCAAGATCAATCTGTAATGTTCAGAGTAGGTTGACTCACTTTGGGCATGAGAAATAGTGGGTAGCTAGGTGGGATCTGTTGGCATGGGTCAGAGCAGTGGTAATGAGAGCTTGTGGTATTGTAGAGGTGAAATGGACAAGTCTTCCCTGTGAATTGGTTTGCTCTTGGGAAGGTGGGGGATGGTGAGGGAAAGAAAACTAGATCCTATCTTGGGTGATAGATTGGACAATGATACCTTTAACAGACACAGGGACACAGGAGCAGGTGTTAGACATTTAATTGCACACATGCCGAGTTTAGGGTGCTCTCAGAGTACACACCTGGCAGATGTTAAGTTTGGAGTCGTTGACCTATGAGGGAGATTGCCAGGGAGCTCTCTCTGAGAGTCCACATGGAAAGCCCAGAGGATTGGAGAAGAGCTACTTGTTGCAGGGAACAGGCAGTCCTGACAATGGTTGTCTCAGATGGTGTCACAGATGAGTGAAGGGACTCCCCTGCTTATTGTGGACATTCCCTTTGAGGTGATTCTAGGTGATGTCAGTGCTGTTTCCTGGGTAGACAATTATGACTTTGGTCCTGATGATACCATTATATTTTGTGGGCTTCGGGATTTTGCATTTTTAAAAATGAAAGTAGGAGGAACTTATGACTCTGGTCTTTTAAAAAAACTCAATAGGCCGGGCACGGTGGCTCACACCTGTAATCCCAGCACTTTGGGAGGCTGAGGCAGGCGGATCATGAGGTCAGGAGATCAAGACCATCCTGGCTAACACGGTGAAACCCCGTCTCCACTAAAAATACAAAAAATTAGCCGGGCGTGGTGGCGGGTGCCTGTCGTCCCAGCTACTCTGGAGGCTGAGGCGGGAGAATGGCGTGAACCCGGGAGGCAGAGCTTGCAGTGAGCTGAGGTCGCACCACTGCACTCCAGCCTGGGCGACAGAGCGAGACTCCGTCTCAAAAAAAACCCAAAAAAACAAAAAAAATAAAAAAATTTTAGTCAAGGGTGGGCACGGTAGCTCATGCCTGTAATCCCAGCACTTTGGAGGCTGAGGCGGGTGGATCAAGAGGTCAGGAGTTGAGATCAGCTTGGTCAACATAGTGAAATCCTGTCTCTACTGAAAATACAAAAAATTACCTGGGCGTGGTGGCAGGTGCCTGTAATCCCAGCTACTCAGGAGGCTGAGGCAGGAGAATCACTTAAAACTGGGAAGCGGAGGTTGCAGAGCGCCGAGGTTGTGACGTTGCACTCCAGACCGGGCGATGGTGTGAGACTCCATCTCAAAAAAAAAAAAAAAATTTTAGTCGAAGTATTCTTTTGGGGGCAAGAGTGAAATGTTGGTTTTGATTACAGTGGTTTGTATTTTGATTTAACTTACAAACTTCTTTGTTATTAAAAGACATTAAATACCTTTCTGATTTAGAATGGCATCAAGTTGGAGTGTTTTCTGAGCTTTTTAGTCCTGTAAATCCTGTGTTATAATTGCCATTATAGAGTTTTTTCATTAATTGAAGGGAACATAGGCTAACAAGGAGTGGATTTCCCTAAGGTTATCACTGAGTGCATACTATGTGCCACAGAGCATTTTCATGTACATTGTATTATTTAATCCTCAGGACAACTCTCAGGGTGTTGTATAAAATTTAGATTATTGAATTATTGTCATTAGTAACATTTTTTCTAAATAAAAGATGACATATAGTTGTATATATGTATGTGTGTGTGTGTATATATATCATGTCATGTATATATATACACATATATATGTATGTGTATATATATTTATTTTTTTGGAGTCAAGGGTCTCCCTTTGTTGCCCAGGATGGAATGCAGTGGCATGATTATGGCTCACTGCAGCCTCAACCTCCTGGGCTCAAGCAGTCCTCCTCTGTCAGCCTCCCATGTAGCTGGGACCACAGGCACATGCCAACACACCCAGCTAACTTATTTTTGTGTGTGTGGTAGTGAGGAGCTCTCACTTTGTTGCCCAGGTTGATCTCAAACTCCTGGGCTCAAGTGATCCTTCTGCCTCTGCCCTGCAAAGTGTCGGGATTATAGGTGTGAGCTACCACACCCAGCCACTACTATTATTACTGTATGTGCTGGGCACAAAACAGATGTCTGATAAATGCTTATTGCCTTTCTTTTTTTTCCTACAGAAGGTACATCCTAACATTTTCAGGCTCAGTCCAATTCACCAGATTATTCTATTCAATTCTCCCAAACATTTTCTATAGCAGGAACTTAAAATAATTGAATGCACATTAAATTCAAAATTCAAAAACGAGCTTAATTTATCTTATGGGCATATTTATCTTTTGAAGAAAAATTACACTGGTGACATTACAAGTAGAAAAAAATGATCACTGAATTATGAAGATTCACGTAAGAATGAATGAAAGTGGTACTGCCTTAGAAATCACACACCAAAGATTCTATAGGTATTTTTATTAAACTGACATCCTTTAACTTATCCTTTAAAATTAGTCATTTCTATGTCATCTTTTATTTAGAAAAAATGACGTCATGTCATATCATGTCAGTTGCATATTATTTCTAATAGGCAGCTGACATGATATATATATACACACACACACATACACACTTATATGTATATACACATATATAGGTGTATATATGTGTGTGTGTGTATGCGTGTGTATATATATATATATCATGTCAACTGCCTATTAGAAATAACTCCCTTTGGTCCTTAGAGTGAAGTTATTCCCATTTCACAGATGAGTAAACTTGGATGTACTGAATAACT